CGTATCGTTAATAGTTACAATTAAGTTTAGATATTACTAAAGGGTACTGTTCTCTCGTTTCTTGTTTCCCCTCCCCCGCATCACGCCGTCCCTTTCAACCCGCGTCTCACCCCCGAAAATTTGCTACCCTTATTAGTTCCGCAGTTAAAAACATTGTTTTTAGCACCCCCCGCGCGGCCGGAGAACCGTTTTCATTGAATGCATCGGGCTGCCGACCGGCTCGCTGGTCGGTGCAACACATGCTGTATTTCGATCTATCGATCCGCGTCGTCGATTAATTCTCTGCCTAATAAATTTGTCTAATTCGAAAGCGTCGCGTCTCGATCCTTTGATCTTGGACTTCCTCTATGAACCCGCGGTCTCGCGTCGCCGACCGTAGAGAAATCGCTCTTCGATCCTCGATCGATGGATTTCGTTTCTTTCTCGTTTTTCTCTTTTTTTTTGTCTTTTCTCTTCGATCGTTTTTTCTCTGTTTTCATCGAGATCAAAGGAGGTTTCGACGACGCGGGACCGTGGCTCGATCGAGTATCGGACACCCTCGAGCGAACGATCCTTGAACCGGGAGATCCGGACGGCGTCGATCGCGCGTCCTCGATCCGCCGCGCGTCGCGGCCGCAATCCGCCGTCGATCGCGGCGTCCAGCGGTTTCCGGGTGGCCGCTCCTCTGCGTCCGGTTCATATACAAAACGGGCTATATAAAAATTCGTACGAAAGAACGATTAACGGTCACGCCTATAGAAATTATGCTACAAACACTTACACGATACGAAGTCACGCTAAAGGTAAGAAACTAGTTTAAGGGGGGAGGGTCCCGAGCGCGACAGATCGAGCGGATCGACGGAAGAAGGAAGCATCTCATTTTCTCTGTCCCCTTCGTTGGTTCTCTGTTTCGTGCAGCCCTCCTCCTTCGGACGATGTCTCGCAGGGTTCTGTTTTTGCGATCCACGAGCGAACGCGTCGACAGTCTCCGGCCTCGCGTATTCCGTACGTTTGTCCGACGACGACAAGATAAACACTTTTTGTTTTTAATACTTTTAGCACCTAGTGCCTGGCCCGCGGCTCACGGCACCACTTCCAGCCGCCATTGCTGTCTTCGCTGTACGCGGTCCCACGGGTCAGCATCGTCGACGCCCGATTCGTATAGTACAGGGGTAATGTTCAGAACAATCGAGAATCGCTTGGGAATTTGCTAATTATTAGCGAGTTGAGGTCTTGTCGGGGAGTGAACGTGAATGTTATATTCTAATGTATAATGTGTCGCAAGTAAATTATATTAGTGCCTCGTACGGTTTCGATAGGCTACGATAAGCTTCTAAATTTTCTTACCGAATTCAGATCTAAATGGAATTCTAACGTTGATTGAAACAAGATTGTTACAAGACTAATCTAATCGTTTATAAAAAGTAGAAAGTGAATATACTCTTACGCTATGAAACAAGGAACAAATGAACAGAGAGATAGTTGATTCATTAAAACCGAATCAAGTCCCATTGAAATTTCCATTTCATTCTCGTTTGAAAATCTTTGAGAACTATAAATGCATAAAGATCTGCAGTCTAACGAAAAGATCTATTTATTTCAAGTACAGATCGAGAAACAGTCTCGTTCATGATTCCCGCAAGACCCTGAAGAAAATAGGTAAACGTTAAGCGTTCACGGGTACCGGTCGCCGTTATGCTCTATCCGTCGAGGACAGCAATGGTGGTCTTTAATAACGTAATCACCTAATTAATCTCGCGAACACAGGCCGGTTGCGGCAGGTCCTCCACGGTAACCGTTTCGCATCGTCCCAGTGACCGCGCACGATCATGGGAAACAAGAAATGTCTCGGAAATCCCCGTGCCCGGAAGGAACGGCGCGGAAGTTCGGACGTGGCTGTCCCGGGATCGATAGGGACAGCGAGAAATTGAAGCTCGCTGTTCGATGCCCACGGAATTAGGAAAGTTCGCCAACACTTGGAGGAACTTTGACAAGCCGAAGATGTTGCCCGATATTATCGAACCTTCGGCGGCCATTTTAAATCCGCGTCAGACAGGATGGGCAGAATGATCGTCCAGATTAATTCTCGCGTGTCGCGTCTGCTTGTTTCCCGGTCGAGCGACGGACAATTCCGAAGCTTCACCTTTGTATAAGTAATATAAACCCTCCTGCTGTCTCATAGACAGTATTTCCACCCACGAAAGGAGTACTTCAATCGATTTACACCAACCGTTCATTTGCGTATAGAATACAAACTTCTAGGAGCTAACAACGCAGCTACTACATTCTTTCGAAATCTGCAACTTAGTCGGACGAATCTTCTAAAAAATAGTCTCTAATCCATCATCAGTTTCTTCTTTAAAGTGTTGAATCCTCGAGATATTCATTTGATTAGTTTCAAAGGATTCCATGAAAACTTGAACTTAGATGGTTAAAAGAAAATTCTGCCAATCCCGGCGAAACCGAGTCCGTCAGGGACGAATCTCGAAAAGCATCGAACCGCGGTGAGGATCGACCGCAACGACGGCCCGGCTCGTTCATCCTACGAACACGCCGCCAATCTCCCACATCCCCTCCCTACTCTCCTCCCCTGGTTTCAGCTCCCCTACGCTCTACTGCATTTATTATAAAAATAAAATGTAAAATCGTACCGAGGACGAGTTGTCCCGAACGGTATGGAACTGCGAGTCTCTCAGCGACCCGAGCCGACGAGCGATTCGTCCCCGTCCCCACGAGGATGAGAATCGTGTCCCATGAAAATCGTTTAATGATCGCCACCCCCGCTGGTCCTGGTCCGGTTCGCCGATGGTTCCAAGGGAACGAGTCGTCGCCTGCCCCACTCTCTCATTTTCTCTTCCTCTCTCTCTTTTAATCTCCTCTTTCTCACAATCCGACCTCTTTTTATCCCTGTATCAGGGTCGCTGCGTCCACAGGTAGTTAGAACAAGTAGTTCCGAACCGTTTCGCTAGAACCCGTGAAGATGAGTGCATATTCTTGAATATAATACATAGGCTCTACAGATATATCTCATTATCAATTCTCCGACTATACCAGTGAAAAAATAAATTATTACACGTTGGTAATATCTGTGTACGTGTTGGTGAAAAGTCGTGCGCGAAAGTGTCCAGCCACCCCCTTACCCCCAAGCAGGGGTGTAATTCTGTATGAATGGATATCAGAATGCTGTATACGCGTGTGTGTTTGTGTTTGTGTGTTACTATTGGGTCTGTATGTGTGTCCGTGGTGTCTCGCCAGGTAAAATGGATGAGAGTTTCGCTGGTTCTCGCTGTTGCGGATTCGTGACTCTGCATGTTTGCATTACATTGTTCATGTAAGTTGTATCCGATGGTGCAAGTGTCTGTCTGTTTTCCATGTACTCTCTATGTATTATGCCTGTGTGTGTTCGTGTGTGTGTATGTTACTCTTGGCGTGTCTCGCTCTCTCGCAGGTGTGTGGGCGCGGTGTGTCGCGTCGTTTCGATTTACACTCGGACCAGAACGATAAAAGGAGATATCGCGCGCGCGGCCTGGCCGAGTCGCGACAGCCAGAAGGCAGGCGCCATTGTCTCGCGATCGGGTTCCGTGGATCGTTGGTTAGCAATTTGTTTTTTTCTCGGTTCTCGATGAAACGTTGGTGTGCGAAACGCGCGTCGCTCCGCGTTCGGTCGATCGCCCCGTCGATTCCGCGAGTGACCTCGCTGCGATCGACAGAAACCCATTCCTCTTTTAGCAATCGAACGCGTAGCCACCCGCGGTTCGGCACCCAGACGCGCGTACCGAAGAACTGTAAGAAATCCGTGTACACTCTCATTCTCTCTCTATCTCTCCCTCTTTCTCCCTTATTCTCTCTTTTACTCTCCCTTTCTTTCCTTCTCGCAAATCCGCTCGCATCTTCGTCGCCGAGGTGTCCTCGGTACGGCATCAGCGTTACGATCGGCGTCCTCCGATCATCTTCATCATCATCCTCATCATCATTCCCTAAACACAGAGGTAGTTGGACCAGCGAGAATCCTACCCGAACGATCGAGCCAACGAAGAGAATCGACGAGCTCCCCGGAACGACGATAACGATGACGATGACGGTCGATGATCGTTGGATGACTGTCAGTGTGTGACGCGCGTCTTCCGTGAACAATACCTCCGCTGATGAGAAAAAGGAATCAGATGCAGCTGGTTGGCTACGATGAGCAATCGGGGTTCTTGCGGCGCCCCCGCGCGAGGCCGCCGTCGGGCCGGATGGTGCAAGCGGATCGGTAGGTGTGTTTGTCATCTGTCAGACGGGAGCCGGTTGCGGTCTCTGGACGACGTCTCGACGCACTGGAGAGGCTGGAAGATCGTTCCCGTCTCCCCGGCCCTCTTCCTCTCCGTCCCGTGGCATTGGAGTTTGCTACCGCAGCGGCAGCGGCTGCGGCGACGGCGGCGGCGCCGAGCACCAGTCGCGACGACTCGAGCCGCGACGACGCTCTCCCGGCATCAGCACGCGTGTTGTTGTATTAGTTAGCCACGAGCAAGTGCTGGTACTGGTTGGCTGGATAGGAGGCGACCGAGCCCAGGCCGAAGTTGTTCAGGCCGTCGACCAGCGTGGTCTTGTCCTGTTGCTGGCCAGTTCCGTTCACGTTGCTAGTCGCCGCAGCAGAGCCGACCGGGCCCAAGTTGCCGGCATTTTGCGCGTTGCCAGTGCTGCCAGCCGCTGCGCCGCTGGTCCCGTTCACGCCGCCGCCATAGAACTGATGGCCGGCGATCGTTGTAGGGTCCAGGTACGAGGACGGGAAATTCGCACCCGTGTACAGGTCCGCGGACAAATAGCCGCCGTGGCTCGACGACTCGAACATGCTGCGGTGCGGGAACTGGGGATGGTACGCGGCTGGTCCGTGCTGGAAGAAGTACGCGCTCGGATCCGTGTGCTGTTGGCCAGCGCCAGCGACTATGCTGCCCGGCGACAGGCTACGGCTACGCGGGGAGCTCTGGGATACAGGCAGACCGCCAGCCGCTGCCGCTACCGCTGCTTGTTGCTGTTGTTGCTGTTGTTGTTGCTGCTGCTGTTGCGGGTGGTGGTGATGGTGATGGATCTGCTGTTGCATTGCGCGCTGCTTGATGTAGTTTGAGAACTCGGTTGGGGACATTCTACGGCAGAACAATTGGAGGCGTTCGTTAGTATGGTTTTAGGCTTCTCGTGAGTTTAAGATTTGATTGTAGCGTTAAGATGATGGATGGTAACATAATATTTCATGGAGACGGTAACTCTCAAGTACCAACCTGTTAGCTCGTTTGCTGCTGGTCTTCAACTTGGTGCTGCCGAACTTGGTTTGAGCGAAGGTGGCGGTGGTGAAGGTGAGCGGTGCTGTGGTGCGCGGTATGAAAGCTGGTACAGGGCTAGGCGAGCCCTTAAACGAGCTAGTAATCGGAGTGGGCGAGGGCGCCGATGAAGAGCCAGAACCGTGGCCGCTTTGCTGGTTGTTCGACGAGCCATTGCTGGCATTGCTGCCGAGCGAGCTCGGGAACGGCGAGGTGGATTTTGGACTGAGGCTGAGCCCACCGAGAGACGTGCCCACCGCCTCGATCGGCCTGAAACACTGCGCCTCGGGATTGAAGGTCTTGGTCACCTCGCGATCGGCCGAGCTTTCGTCATGAGGATCGCCGGTCTCCGAATAGAGGATCTTCACCGCGTTCATCTCGCCGATACGGTAGCTAACCTCGCCCGGGTCCACCCAGACGGCTAGCTCTGCCGGCAGGTTCTCCAGGATGTCCTGGATCGGTACGCCGCTCTCCTTCGCTGCCCGCTCGAGCACTGGGTCCACCGGGTCCCCTGTCTTCAGACATCTGAACGCGGATCCCTTGAAGGGCTTCTCCGGGTACCAGTGTCCCTTAAACTTGTCCTTGAGCGCTTTCTCGAGCTCCTCGCCGAAGATGTTCACCCGTCTACGAGGCAGCTTGTTATAGAGGTACGATATCACGAAGTTGAGCGCCACCTGCACCTCGATGTGCATCTTGCCCTTCGCTGGGAGAATCTTCGGGCTGGTGCTGGTCGGGGCAGTCGCGGAATAGCACCGAGGACGCTCACACGATCGGCCGTCTTGCTAGCGACGACCACCCGATGCTCGCGATGGTAGAATCTCACAATGGACGAATCTCGTGCAAGACTTTTGAGATGTTGCAGTGGAACTTATTGGGTCTGTGAATCTGGAACAGAGAAGATATTCGTTGTTAGATTTTTGTGCAGGCGTTTCTATGAAACAGTGTACAGTTGGAGAATATTTTCAAATTAACTTGATAGTATTCTTATGTTATATCTAAGTCTTTAGCCTAACGGTAACTCCCGTTTCCATATACGAACTCCAAAAAAGCAAAATCAACCTCCATTACGTCAAGTAGTACTTCCTACAAACACGGCGTTCTATTAAACTCTATCGAGATTTCAATTCCACTCTTTGTGGAAGATTCGTGCAAGCCGTATAGAGATCCGTATTTCAGTAATGATGCGGCCGACAAAGGGGTACCGAATAAAAATTCGCGAGTCATGCACAAAGGAACCCTATCGCTATTCGGAGAGCCTCTCCTCTCTTTCTTCCCTCGAACAGTGTGAAATCACATTAAAAGACGCCCGTAGAGTATCTTCGAAAGGGATTTGCTTTTACTCGGCAGCCGTGTTATCGGCTCCTTTCACGATCGCGCATTGAAACGGAACGCCGCTTCCGGTTACTCCGGGGGTGGCCCGCCTTCGGGTTTCAGCCGGGCCGAAGAACTCGAACGCGGAGCCAATCGTTCCCGACGTATTCGCGAGCGGCATAATGCCCTCCTCGGGCATCCGGCACTCTTCGACAAAGAGCTCTTATCCGTGCACCCGCCTTCCCATGAGTCCTCGCCGCAGCGTTCTCTTTCCCCGGTAATTTGGAACTCGATTATGCGCTGCATAAATCTCGACTCTCCGGAGCGTCGACTCGCTCCAGACAGATTTACGCTCCGCCGTAAGTTCTCGGGGCGCTCGAAAGAGTTATTCCGGAGAAATGTGATCGGCCATGCAATCTTCTAACATTTACTTTGACGTTTTAACGCTTGAAATCTTGGTCCATTCTCGAGCGCAGATTTTTGGCATTGGATCATCGTGATTCGCGTTTAAATCCTATTCATTCTTAGGTGCGTTGTTGATTCTAAAACGGATACTCGATTCGTAGTATTTCCTTGTGGAAAACTATTTATTGCATAAATGATATTGTTGTATAAATTTCATATTATTAATGATAAGTGGTTATAAACAGTGAAATTTCATTTATTAGTTTCTTATCCTAACATAGTTTCAAAGTTACTTTTTCCACTTTAAATATTACGACTTTTAATAGTTGAGAATCATCACCTTAAATATTGGATTTCCAACAATTAAAATGTACTTTACAGATTACAATATCTTCCATTCTACTTTGAATACAGCTTGACACCCCTGAAATACACGACCCACCAACACTCTAGTTAAACTTCCAGAGCCAAAAATAGTAAAAGAAAGATCTTGAAACGTCACAGGACTAGACAAACTCGAAGATCAACTTCCGTGAGGTGCTCGTTTCCAGTCGAGCGATCGGATAAAACTCTCGAGAGAGTGATGGAAGGTGCTCCCAGCCGATTCGAAACGCATATTGGGTAGAACCGCAAGTATCGAGCGACGAATATTCAACCGGTCGCGCGATTACCGTGAAACGAACGGCAATAAAGGGGATATCTCGTGCGCACCGCCGGCGAGTGGCCATTTTCTACGGGGAGACATATCGTCACGGCTGCGGGAGTTGCTCCCTGAACCCGAATGACATCGAGAGGGAAAGGCTTCTCTTTTCTTTTCACCGCAGAGCTTTGCTCTTTTCCCTCCCTCTACTAGCGATCCCTCGATTTTTTCTCTTTTCATCCACTTCACTCCCATTTTCTTCCACCTCCAACCCCTGGCGCGCCACTTTCTTCATCACGACACTGCCGCTAACACCGTCTTTCTCTTCTCCGACCTCTTCTTCGGGGATTCCTGGGCGAGTCTCGGCCGCGGAACTCAATTCCGTCTCGCTTCTCCCTTTCTTGCTGTGATCTTGCCAGAAGAAAAAGGATAAAAGAGGCAAAGGCAAGAGAGGGAGCGCGTGGCTGCCACCGAGGAGCTAGCTAGACCAGCAGCCATTTTGTAATGGGATACGAGAGAACATTCTTGCTCTCGTTTCCCTCGTTTCTCCGGTTTTTTTTTCTTTTTT